TAATTTCTGTCCTCCCAAGGAAAGAGGTTATAATCACCATGAATAACAGAGCCCAAAATATAATATTTTGTCCTCCTGGAGTGACATAGAATAGGGTTTGTTTCAATCTTTCTAGAACCAGACTAGTCTCCAAAGTTAGTGGAACAAATCATAAAAAACTGAATGAGCTCCAAAGAACAGTGCCCCACAGGAAGTAGTAAAGAATGTCCCTCGCTCGGACTCTTTACGTCTAAACTGGACAAAACACTAGGGAACATACCACAAAGAATGATCTCACCACAGGAACAGGGATGGGTGAAGCAAAAATATAACCCTTCCACCTCTAATTTAGCATTCCTACTGGTTAAGTGCTCAGTTCCACATAGTCACCTGATTTTGCCCTTTTTGACAGTTAGAGAACTATAAAAAGCTAAGGACCAGATTTTTCAGCCAGGCCTCATGCCAACCCCATTTGTGGGAACAACTACTACCAATTAACATCTAAATGCTGGTGCAAGCAGAATTGGAAATATTTGCACAAAATTCATTTTGGGCACAAAATCATGCCCACAAAAATAGAAGCCAGCACTGAAAATCTGGCTCCAAATCAAGCTTTTATAAGGGTCAGATTATCCTCTGCACAGACTAGACTCAGCAGCCACGCCAGCCACCACCTCCCCTCCCATTCTCCTTCTGATTTGCTAGTTCAAGTTCTCTACAAAATAAAATAAGCCACTTGTCTACAGAGCTGCTTAAAATTGTAGCAGCTTGTGTCAGCCCCAAGATGATAGGCTCAGAACAGGAAATAAAACCCTTTCCAAATAAAAGCCACTGTTTCTCCTTAGTCCATCTAACTCTCAGGAAGAGTAACAGGAAGATGAAGTTTGTCCTGGCACTTTCATGACGCATATGAGCTTTTTTAGCCTTGTCCAGCAAAAACTTAATCTTCTAAGAATGTATTTCACACACAACCCAATTCAAATCATCATTTTTTGAAAGCTACAGAGCATATGAACTAGGAAAATGTCTTGTGGGCTGCAGCAGCCTTGCAGCTGCTTCCAATTAAAACTTCTCCTTTACTCCCTCTGGGCTACTTTCCAGCACAAATACTTTAGTCAGAACTTAGCTTAACACCCCCCCCTTTTTTTTGTGCCTCTAACTTGCAGCTCCAGTCTGCAGTTGCTGCCCACAGCGTCACAGTGCAGTCTCTCAGCAAGTTTTACAGTGGATGCTTCCCCTCAACAGACAAAATAGTTACTTAATCAGAAGCAGTCACAGCACTAGATTCACAATGCGGACAATGACAATGCCTCAAACAGAACTGTCAAGACACAGAGAGCTATTGCTGTTACCAAAGCAGTTGTGGTGCCAGACTGCTTTGAAGCCTCTTCTCAATTTATCCCTTTTCTGCAGGGTTCTTGGAAAGAGGCGACCTTTCCATGGAAACGGGTGTTCTTCACCAGAAATGTTCATTTTAGGTACATTCACCAAGTCAGTCTACACCTTGACTGCTGCAGCTAGTCTTCCCAGATGTTTTGTTTTCATGGGAGTTTCCCATTTCAGGCTCAATGATATC